CCCCAAAACCCCAAAACCCCAAAACCCCAAAACCCCAAAACCCCAAAACCCCAAAACCCCTTTCTCGTATCATCAAGTTGAAGCCAAAAATAAATTTTATGTTGAAACTTCACTTGGCCTATCGCTCATCCTTGTTTTGCTAATAGAGTCAATTGGTAGATGCAGTCAGAGAAGTCGGCATTGACTTATCTGTATGAATAAAAATCTCATCAGAAGGGACTAATTTTGGCTTCTTACAACGCTTAGAACCCTTTGTAGATTTTTTGCCAATGTTTTTAGGAATTGCTGGTCTTTTAATGACCATTCGTTTGACTAAGAGATCGTTATACTCCATAATTACCTTGTAATCTTTGAGTTTTAGGGACTATTTTCACCTTAGGGGTGCTATTAGTCATTTTAGTGCTAATGTTTATAATGCTGTTCCTCGTTTGCTCTAAGATGTCAGACCCAAACTTACTCCTAACATTATATGACTTGTTTTGATACTTAAGCATTTGTTGATCAAGTTCAAAATTATTTGCAGTCGTTTATATAGTCATTAAGCTTATCTTCGAATGGCTCTGGTCTAAGTTGTAGTATGTCCTGCTTGGGTGGCTCAGCTTTAAAGATTGGATGGATTGGAGATTTATACAGCAATTGTGTGTAATTGAAATTAGGCTTGTAGTTCCGAACGTAACGAGTGCGAGCAGCAAGCTTTTCTTTCTCTTTCCAAAGCTGAGTTAACTTCTCATCAGCATTACTCCTTTTCCGTAAGTGACTTACTAGAGAATTAGTGAAGAAGTTACTTGTTCGAGACTTTGAGATTAAGACTGAAGCTGATTGAGATTTGGATTCTATTTTATGTTTTATTTTCTTAATTCTCATTTCCTCATCTTCTTCTCTTTTGTTCTTATATGCTTCATATCTGTGAGGGTAAGATTTAGAGTCGTTATTTTTGAGTTTTCGAGTCCGAGGAGGCCGATATAGGATGCTTCTTAAACATCTAGGATTCATATCATACGTCTCATTATTCAGAATTTCTTGTCTATTTATTGAGCTATTGTCTCCAAGAACTTTGAAAAATCCTGTCATCGAATTATTTAATTCTGAATCATCTAGAGTAAGATAAAAATTATTTTCTACCATTTTCATGATGAATCTTCTTAACTGAACCTAATTCTACAATTGATTTATCAGTGGCACTATGTCTTAGAATACATAAAATTACAATCCTTCTTTGGTTGTTCTAACTTCTTTCATCCTTCGCGTATCTCAAAAGCTATCCTCACTCGGTTCAGGAGATGAAGGGATCCTATTCCCATCAACCTCAGTCCTCTTCAACAATGTTCGATGACTTTTTGGCGCAAGTTTGCTATATCTCACTGAGAGCTGATTTACTTCTTATTAGTGCGCATTTTAACTTTCTTGACTTCCTTTTTACCTTTTCCAAATTTTCTAAATCAGTCCACCTTGGAAGTAGCCAATTTAGCTCCATTTCCCATGTATTTAATCATTTTCTAAACTGTCTCAAGCCAAGACTCACGTCTATTTGTCTCAAGGATCCACTAATCTGCTGGTTGACTCTCTTAGTATTCTCATCGACATACTGAACCTTTTCGTAATTCTCTAGAGAATAGTTCTACTACTTACTCATAGCCACTTTGTTCTTAGGCATCTTCCTCACATCTAAATTAATTGAACATAAACTTATCACCTCCACTTACAAAGCTTCGCTAAATTGACCGAAGTAGGCTTTATCTTCCCCAACTGTTCCTTAAAAACTGTATTACTAGTCATATCCTTCCTCCCATTAAATTTCCTTCCTCTACTTCCTCTCTTACTTTTCATATTATTATTAAAATTTAGGGGTTTTGGGGTTTTGGGGTTTTGGGGTTTTGGGG